TCCCGCGTCGGGCTCTCTGCTCGGCGGGGAGTCTGCTTCTCCCTCTGACCCTCCCCCCTCTCATGTGCTCTCTCTCATTCTCTCTCTCTCAAATAAATAAGTAGAATCTTTAAAAAACAAACAAACAAACAAAAAACCCCAAAACCTCCACAAAGCCAAAAAGCTTTTAATAAACTTGATTTTAAACACATGCGATGACTTTATTGTTTAACAAGGAAAATATATTATGACCCCCTAGGTTTCATCCATTTCAAGTAAAACCTGCTTGAAGAGAAAATTAACAAGAGGTGGTAAGCGGTATCAGTTGGTGTAAACAAACCGTAAAACCTGTTCACTTTCCTCTTCGGGCAGCAAACTGTTCTCAGAGCCATAAAAGTTCATCATAAATTCCAAGTGGGTGTAAGGTTATGAGAAACACTCCTTGTTGCTGCAGGATTCAAGTTTTAAATAACGGTGTATTTATCGCGGGCAGTTTTTCCTGGTATTATCACAGGACATCAGATGTTTTGATCTGATCTCACGTCTTCCTGGGGCCAGAGGAGGGCAGGGCCCAGTGAACATGAGGGGCACTGCCCCCGACTCAGACGCCCGGGGCCTAATCCTCAGCCCTCCTCCTTGAGGCTGCCCGAAGCTGTAGGGAGAACCTTTGAATCTCAGTAGACGTCTGACGAATGGCACAAAACAGCACATGAGGTCCTCAGTATCCCAGGGCAAGTGGCATTGGGGAAAACCCACATCACACAGTGATCTGCATTTCGTATTTATACAAGAATTTATACAAGTTATTTTTATTTATTTATTTTTAATTTTTTTTTAAAGATTTTATTTATTTATTTGTTAGAGAGAGAGCACTCGCACAAGCAGGGGGAACGGCAGGCAGAGGGAGAAGCAGGCTCGTCGCTGAGCAAGGAGCCTGACGCCAGACTCAGTCCCGGGACCTCAGGACCACAACCCGAGCCAAAGGCAGACGCCCAACTGACTGAGCCACCTAGGCATCCCAAGAGTGTTATTTTCAAGCTTGGCTGGAATTCTCTCTTGAAAAATGAGACTAAAAATTATTTAAAAAATTAAAAGGTTGATCCTCATTATATATGGATTCCATACCTGAGAATTGGCCTGCTTGCTAAAAGTTGTTAGCCCCAAATCAGTGCTTGTGAGAAACCAACCCTGCCGATACCCTGATCTTGGACTTCCAGCCCCCAGAACTGGGGGGTGGGGAATAAATCTCTGCCTTGTAAGCACCGAGGTCTGCAGTATTTTGTCATGGGAGCTCCAGCAGACTAATACAGCATGACCGCAGAAATCCTGAATGCCCCCGATGCACAAGTGACACCTATTCTTTATCACTGCTTCCTCAGCCCCTGGCCACCCTGCCCTGCACTAACCTTCCAGGCTTCCTGAGGCTCCCCCGGGACCAGTCCTCCAGAACCTTCAATCAGCCTGACTTTGACTGCAGGCGGTTCTGGTGGCTTTGATTGGCCTTCCGATTCTTACCCCAGTGCATCTAACTGACTTCACCCCAGAACTCTAGCCATAAGGAGGCAGGAGAGGTCATTTTGGCTTCCAACCTCCTGAGACAAGACACGTGGCCATCACCTCTGCCGAGAAGCTGCGTTTGCTCTGGGCAGATGTGTGGAAACAGAGCTGGGCAGAACTTTCCAGGGAATTCTCTGGGTTGGCAGGTAAGGTCGGCTTGGGTCCCTTGGGCCTTCGGCCCTGCTCACCGTCTGCCTGTCCAGGCTCTGCTGGCCAGTTGAAGACCTGCTGCCTGGGCCACACAAGGGCCACAGAACAGAAGACCAGGCTCACCACACCCGCTGCTGGTTGTGAAACTTCGGTCTTATGCCTCTCTCTCTTTCTGTCTCTTGGGGAAGCCTCACTTGTCCCAACTGTAAAATGGGCTGATGCTTTGATCTGTTCTGCAGTCCCACAGAGAGAGCGTAGGGTGGAATAACTTAATAGGCACTGTGTGCCCATCATTAAGCAATTCATTCATAATTTAACTATTCATTCCCGAGTGTTTCCTGAGGCCTGGTGAAGATGACTCACACTCACAATCCAGCCCCCCAGGGGCCCTCATTGGGAGGTGCAGACTGGCTGGCTGACTCTGTAATCACTCATCCATCACCCGTTTATCCAATAAACATCACCTGAGCCTCAGGGTGCCGGGGGCTGGACACCTGGGCATGCACCAAATCCCCTCCCCACCCTGGAGGATCTCCCTGCTTTAAAGCACCATACAAAAGAGAAACCGTTAATTATTATTTTGAGTAATAATTATAGTGGTGCTACAAAGGAGCCCAAAAGCTTTGGTAGGATATGGGCCAAATTTGCTGCCAAAAGAATTTTTGCCCTCAGGCCAGGGAAGTAAGGTAAGAACCACTTTCCTTCAATCCTTATTTACTCACTCAGAGGCAGGCCCCAAACTGGGAGCTGGCAAAAACTGGGTCTCTGTTATTGAGCTGCTCACCAGAGGATAAGCAGGGCAGATACAAAAAGTAATCCAAGCACGAGATGGAGAGAGAAGGGGCACTGTGGAAGCTCAGATGAGGAGTTTCGTCCAGATTTACTGGGGTGGGAGTGGTCTGGGAAGGCTTCCTGGAGGAGGCAGCATCTGAACGGATTGCTGAGGAATGTATGATGTTACCAGGTGAAGAAGTGGAAGGAGGACATCCAGGGAGTCATTCCTTCTTTCCATTCCTCAGCAATATTTATAGTGCACTCGAATGCTGGAGAAACAGCGCTGTATGTGGACACTGCACAGATGATCAAGGTGGTATGTATGACATGAATGGCTACTTAATTTGTGAGGCCCACTGCAGAATGAAAATGCAGAGCTCCATGCTTTAAAAAGGGGGTTGGGGCACCTGGGTGGCTCAGTCCCTTAAGTGGCTGACTCTTGATTTCGGCTCAGGTCATGATCTGAGGGTCCTGGGATAGAGCCCCACGTTGGGCTCTGCGCTCAGTGGGGAGTCTGCTTCAGGATTCTCTGTCTCCCTCTGCCCCC